GACGACGACGACTGCGACGACTTCTTCGGCGACTTGACTGGAGTGGACGGACACGACATGCGGGAGGACTTGCGCTTCGAGGCGCCCATCAGTTTCTCGTAATTGCGGATCACATCCGACATATCGAGAGCGCCGAAGAGGTCGCCCGCAGTCGTCGAGTCGTCGAGAGCGCCGTTCGTCTTCTTCCGGCGCATGTCGTCCACGAGTTTGGCGGCCAATGGCTTTGACTTCGACGACTTCTTGGCGGCCGTCGCTCTGTTGCCGGACTTCTTGCGGGCCGTCGAGTGATCCGCGGATCCATTGGCAGCGGCGGTGGCGGCAGACGTGGCAGCGACGGGCCGATTGTCGCCCATCTGTTCGCTGAGTCCCATCTCGAAGATGTCGACCACCCGAGCGCTGGCGAAGTTGTCGATCGTCTCCCACGTGGAGTGCCTGCCATCCCATCCCTCCCACTTCACGAGATACTCCACTTTGCCGTTACGTCCGACCCGTTTGGCGCAGATATAGTCGACCACATAGTTGAATGTCTTCATCATCGCTGTGTCCATGTGTTCGCCGATCACGTCGTCGTTGGACACGCTTTGGTCCATCAGCTGACTCATGGCATCCGGCGGTCGCTGGGCTTTGGGAACCGTTTCGGTGATAGTATCGATGCGCTTGCGGTCTGTGTTTTGATTGTGTTGTCTGTGTTTCACCACAACTTTCATTGAGTGTCGAGCGTAACACATATGACGTTACGCTTGTACGTGAGGTGTGAGTGTAGTGTTGTGTAGTGTGTGGTGAGTAATGGGGCACTGAATGTGAGCTGTTTTCGGTTACGTGTTGTGTGAATGGCGCGCAACTAATAGGTGCAAAGTTTTCGCAATCTGTTCCCATAGAAACACATAATAACTGTGATTTTTGTGTGTTGTTTGTGTATTGAGAGTCAATAACGTCTAATAAGTTGTCAATCATTTGTTGGCAAAACTTATTTGAATGCGAGTTGTATTTCGAGACATAATTCATTAGTATTGCAAATATTAATTAAGTTATTGTTTTCCCCGACAATTAACGCTAATTACGGTATACTCCCGGTTATAGGGCTCATAGAGTTATAGTATATAACTTTGTTTTGTATACGAAAGTGTTTTATTAGTTTTTGTGTCTATAAAAGGCTTTATGATGTCATAAACAGCTAATACATTACTGTAATACACTATACAGTAGTTAATGATGCATAGCGATAGTGAACTGTTTGTTTTGTATGTTTGTTAGGAACAAATAGTAATACAGTCGACTATCGATATAATTTAGTATAACATTTGTAATCCTATATGAGTAATGTAAATTATGGATATTTAATAATGCATTTCAAATCACTTTTCATTACAACTTATGTTTATTTGTTACAAGTTTTTCCATACATTTTAATAAACTACACATCTGTTCATATAATATATTATCTCATATTTTATGTTTGATTTATTAATGAAATTCTAGGGAAATGAAGCAAACAGTAGCATATGCTCAGGGTCAGGGCCACTGAAATGTGTACGATTAGCTAGAATTCGTATGAACATTGATCGGGGTCATATTTGAACACACATTGTATGCACCATTAAATACTTGGAGCAGTTTTATTGCACTAAAAATACACTCAATTACAACTTATAACACCATGATAGTATTTAAAACAAGTACTGTATAAACTAAAATATACAATACTTGCAACACGATTCAGAAATGTCTCAAATGAACTGGATCAACTTGAAAACTTTTGTGTCGCACGTTATTTATTGATGACCCACACGACAAAGTTTCCCTATTTCGTCACATTGTTTACAAACTTTTGTGACAACAAAAGCAAACCAATAACTCACACAAAATGCTAATTAACTGACCATAAACTGACCATTAACTGACCATGGTCATTGTGCACTTATTTACACCATATTTGACTACTTTGTGAACTCATATCCAATGCATAACTCGCGCACCAAATGGTGATTACAGGCACTGAAAGCCGTTGTATTGATTGGCAATGCGTTTACATTTGTGCACAAAATCAGTGCTAATTGTGTTGACATTTGTCTGCGCTTTCGTTGCGTTCACTAAATACTACTTCACTTCCGATGACCCGGATATTCACGCCATTAGTTTACCGCCGAGTGGTGGCCAACAGATAGTCGCCACCAAAGAAGCCGATCCGTAAGTTATCGCCACTTCTTAAGCACTCGATTACCACTTATTAATTATCTTCTCATTTGATCCACTCTTTCAGCGCTTATGTGATACTCTTTTGGACCAAATATTTCAATCAACCCATTGAATGGTATTTAAGTGATAGTGAGCTGACCATCGATGGCGAGCGGTGTGCGGGAAGTCCTA